CATCAGGCTTAAGCTTGTTGACATGGATCTGTATAAAGCTGGTCCAGTCAAATTTCTGGCATTTCAAGGACCTTTTCACCTTCAAAATCCCCCTTTTCTGACTGTAAAGCTTCCAGTCTTTGATGTCAGAAGACTGTACATGGCTTATGCTGTATGGATCAGGTGCAATTTCTGATATACGCTCCATGGCCCTCTCTATCGTATCGTATTATTATTATTATTATTATTCTGATTATTATTATTATTATTATTATTATTATTATTATTATTGTTATTGTTATTATTATTATTATTGTTATTAATTATTGTTATTATTACTAATATTATTATTATTATCACTATTAATATAAATAATATAATAATGTATAATAATAGTGGATTTGATGTCACATCACCATAAAACACAAATTACTCGTCAAAGCTTCACACCATTCATCAACTTTAATAGCTATGCATTCGATCTTCCATCACCAAACACATATTATTCGTGAAAGCTTCACAGAATCAAGATTAAAAAAATAACGTTAGGACTTCACTACAACAGCAAATCTATTGACCTTAGGCTTCGACGTCGATAGTTGGCGACCTCTGAGGAGGGTGGGTTCAGGCTTCAAAGTGACGCCTGCATTAGGAAAATATTATAAGAGCTACCGATGCGCTACTATTGGTAAAATCAATTTCTAGAAAAAAAATATTAATGAAATAAGTCTACAGCACCCGGTATTCCCAAGCGGTCTCCCATCCAAGTACTAACCAGGCCCGACGTTGCTTAACTTCGGTGATCGGACGAGAACCGGAGTTTTCAAGGTAGTATGGCCGTAGACAAGGATGCACCAACAGTGCAACACTTCGATCATCGAGTTCATTGAATGATATTTCAAGTTGTTGACGTGTTACTTAGAAATATTATAAGAGCTGTCGATTCGCTACTATTGGTTAAAATGAATTTTTAGAAAAATATAAATGAAATAAGTCTACAACACCCGGTATTCCCAGGCGGTCTTCCATCGAAGTACTAACCGGGCCCGACGTTGCTTAACTTCGGTGATCGGACGTGAACCGGTGTTTTCAACGAAGTATGACCGTAGGCAATTGAGCACCATCGCACCCGGCATTCCCAGGCGGTCTCCCATCGAAGTAATAATCGGGCCCGACGTTGCTTAACTTCGTTTTTGTTTATTTCGCATTTATTTTATCTCTCTCTATCTCTGTCTCTATCTTTATCTATCTATCTCTCTCTATCTGTTTCTATCTCTATATTATTATTATTATTATTATTATTATTATTATTATTATTATTATTATTATTATTATTATTATTATTATTATTATTATTATTATTATTATTATTATTATTATTATTATTATTATTATTATTATTA